AAGAGGTCCGTGGAAGTGGAGGATCGGTGCTGGTGCCAGAGAACCAGCTAATGGCAGCGCACGCTGAGGCTGCTGCCTCCGCCGGGGTGGCCATACAGTGGAGACCCCAGTGCCAGAGATTACGAGGGAATCCAAGAACAAACGGACCCCTCAACACAGGCGCACCTCTCACACAGTACATTTTCAAATACGTGTTCTCTTTGTCCCAGCAGTTCCTCTTTCAGGAATTTGCCCAGAGATAACTGCTCAAGTGTAGAAAGATGCACCATGCAAGACACTTATCATAGTATTTTTTTATAATATCAAAATATCTAGAAAGCCACCCACAGGTCCAGCAATATACAACTACTTAAATATGTTATGGTACATCTACCCAGGGGAAGACCATTGTACCACTAACAAGGTTGAAGCAGGTCTAGTCATTGGTGTAGGAGAAAAAAGTCTCTAAATATGGCAGTATGCTTAAAAAACAAATCCAAAAAAACAGGTTACACACAGCATGCATGATATGATCCCATTAATACATAAAATTACACAAAATTCTCTCTCTCTCTCACCACCCCCCCCCCCACAGATATATAGCAAGATCTCTAGAAGGACATTCACCAAACTTATAATGGAACGGCCTCTAGGTAGTGGGAGATTTTTTATTTCATCTTTATATTTGCTTGCATTGCTTGTATTTGCAGTGAATATGTTTGTTAGCTTTATAATCATTCCACATTTCCACAGGAGTGGGGGAGGTGAACGTCACACAGTGGAACACTACTCAGCAACAAGTAATTAACTACTCATTCCCACAACATGGATAAATCTGGAAAGCATCATTTAACTGAAAGAAGCCAGACACACAAAAGTGCACATGTTGTATGATCACACTATACGATTCTCAGTCTATGAATGTCTAAAACAGGCAAAATAATCTAATGACGACAGAATCAAGAGTGACTGCTTTGGAGGGAAGGGGATTTTGAGAAGAGGCACAAAGAACTTTCTGGAACAATGAAAATCTTCTTGGACAGCAGTGTGGGGTACACAGGTATATGAACTATACACTTAACAATGGTATGTTTCAAAATATGTAAATTATGCCCCAATTAGAAGAAAAGGGAGGTAAGGAGGGAGGCAAACCCCTAAAAGAGACAGGCTGTCACTTGACTACGAAGCCAGCTAGCTGGTTGCTGGGAAAAATAGGAAAACGTCAGGGCCCCTCGGATGTTCAGACCTTGCTGAGCATTTGCTGTAAATATCCTTAGGTGTTCCTTGTTACTATCTAATGTAAGTTGTGTATGGGTGCCCAGGTGTCCAGGGTTGTGGACTTAAGTATAAAAGACTAACAGCTCTGATCCACAGTGCTTCTCAGAACTCTCAGAGAAGCCACTGGATCTGAATAAAACCCATTCATTTTTCTATACCTATGGCTCCTAGAACCTTTTTTTTTTCTGTTACTTAGTGCTCAGACTTGTGTGTGGAGGGTTTGTAACCCAATCTGTGCAACAGACTCGAGGGGTCTGTAAGCCCTAGCTTTACACTGGTGGAGGGGCTGGCCATGAAGCCAGGTACATTCACTGTGGACCACTGACTGGTGAGGACTGCCTCCTCCACAGCTCAGCTCTCTCTAGATCTCAGGCTCATACTTCCTCTCTCTTAGTTCTGCCATGTTTGGGCTCCTGTATGATTTAATTTCACAAACCTGTGTCACACAGTGAATTAAGACAAAGTTCACAGGTTATAAAGTTTGTTAAAACAACTAAGCAAGCCCACAGCTTGGTCTATGACCTAAGAATGTATTTATCATACACTTGTTAGTTTTTACTCAAAGTTATTTTCCTGAATATTACTTTAAGTCTTGGTATAGTGGACTGAATGAATTATGTTCCCCCACAACTCCCTGAAGCTTGAGTTGTGTCCCCCAAGTTTTATGTATTAGGAACTTAGCCCCAACTGGGACTGTAAAGAGGGTGGGAAATCCTATTATGGTAATTGAAAGGTGGGGCCTTGAAGAGGTGATTGGGTTGTAGGACCATGCAGTAGTGAATGGATTAAAAACGGTGGTCAGGGGCATGCTTCTGAGGGCTTTAAAAGTAGAGGAGAGTCTGGGCCGGCCCCGTCGCTCACTCGGGAGAGTGCAGCACTGGTAGCGCCAAGTCTGCGGGTTTGGATCCTATATAGGGATGGCCGGTAGGCTCACTGGCTGAGCATGGTGCAGATGACACCATGCCGAGGGTTACGATCCCCTTACTGGTCAGAAAAAAAAAAAAAAGAAGAGAGTCTGCCTTTTGCTCTCTCTGCTTCCACCATCTTGCAATGTGAAACCCCTGGGTCACTGTCACCACCACCAGATGGACTTTGGACTTCCCAGCCTCAGAAACTGTACGCAATAAACTTCATTTTCTTTATAAACTACCCAGTTCAGTGTACTTTGTTATAAGAAACAAAAAAGGACTAGTACACTTGGGTTCAGAATTTAAACACAGATCATAGACATTATGACTACTAATGCAATTTTATACCACGCATTGAGGAATAATTCACATACTTATGCTAACCTTCAAGAGATTTGTTATTTCTTCACAAAAAATAAACATTAAAAAAAAACACTTCAATTGAAAGAATAATTGCCAAATACTTTTAAATTTTATTAAAACTATAAACCCACACACCAAGCAGCTCACTAAACCCTAAGCATAAGAAGCTTGAAGAAAACTACACTGAGGTACATCGTAATCAAAACTGTCAATCTAGAATTTGATACCCAATGAGTCTTCCCAGCTCATTCTATGACACCAGCATTATGATCCTAAGACCAGACAAAGATATTACAGGAAAATAAAATTACAAATTAATATCCCTCATGCACCCAGATGCAAAAATCCTCAACAAAACAGCAAATCAAATCCAACAATATATAAAAAGGTTAATACATAATGATCAAGTAGGTTTACCCCAGGAATTCAAGGTTGGTTTAACATTCAAAAGCCAATTAAAATAATTAATCATATTAATAAACTAATCGAAAAACAAGACCTTATATAATATCCCAGTAGATGCCAAAAAGTATCTGACAAAATCCAACATCCATACCTGGTAAAAGACAACTCATTAATTCAGGGGCTGTCCCCCACCTGCCATTCTGCCACTGGACACGGCCCCTCTCATTTCCTACAGGGCCACATTCCTTCCATTTGGCTTGGTTTATGTAACTCAATTTTCCCTTAGAAATTGAACCAGGATCTCTAAGAAAAGACACCTACCAACAGCTCATCTAATCTGAGCAGCATTTGCTTCTCTTGATCCCGAGTACTGTCATCTTCTGGCTGGCTACCACTGAAAGACATGATCAGCCACTTGATACAGGACTGCAGAAGGGTCCTTCTCCAGGCACACAGCTTTTCTGCAGACCCTGCCAGGGCTACAGAGACAGAGTCCGCCATGATCCAACTGCAGCAGGAGACAAGAGTCACAGAGTTAGAGGAGGGCTTACATACTTCTAGCTTATGCTCAATCCAACATTACAAAGGGCCATATGGGACAGATGCCTGAGTCCTGCTCCCCATCCTACCCACTCATAGGAATCACAGGCTCCCCAGACTCTGACACAAACACTGAAGATGTACTAGACGTTTTACAACCAAGGAAAACAGTTAGAACACCAGAAAAAGGATATTTACGTCCAGACTTTGGATTTCTAGGGTTTCTCAACCTCAGCAGTATTGACATTTTGGGCCAGGTAATTTTTCTTTTAGGGGGCTGTCCTGTGCATTACAGCATATTTAGCAGCACTCAGGTCTCTTCTACCGTCTAGATGCCAGAAGCATCACCCCTCACCTCAGTCGTGACAATAAAATAAGTCAAACATTGCCAATCATCCCCTGGCGGAAAATCATGCCCAGGTGAAAACCACTGCTCTCAGGAAATCAAACCCAGCCATCTACTTCTGGAGATGGATTTGCTCCAGAAAGAATGCTGAAGAGTTCTCGTAGGAACTGCCTTCTCACTGATTGGCACAACAGCACTGCAGCACTTTTTCACTAACTTACATTAAACAGTAAAGAACAAAGTGATGCTGAGAGAGGAATAGCCACCAAACAATCTAAGCCTTCACACCTCCTGTGATTACTCGGAGCCTGAAGCAAGCTGGGCAGACGGTCCATGAAGACACTGAGATCCTTGGCTCTCGCAAATGGGACCAGCTGGGCCAGGATCTCCTGATACAGTCCAGACTCTGGAGGGTCATCAGCAGTGAAAAATCTGCTCTGTAGCTGTCTCCACAGGGACTTCCTCAAGACAGGAATGACAGCAGAGGACACTAGGGCAGAGACACAAAGGAGAAGTCATTGCATGCAAGGGTGGGCTACTGCTAACTTGGACCAGCTCACAGGAGCCAGATGCCATATTGTAGGTGTCCTGTGACCTGGGTGATGTCATACTGATAGCTTGAAATTGGCCATGGCAGGAGCCATGATGCCATATTGTAGGTGTCCTGTGACCTGGGTGATGTCATACTGATAGCTTGAAATTGGCCATGGCAGGAGCCATGATGCCATATTGTAGGTGTCCTGTGACCTGGGTGATGTCATACTGATAGCTTGAAATTGGCCATGGCAGGAGCCATGATGCCATATTGTAGGTGTCCTGTGACCTGGGTGATGTCATACTGATAGCTTGAAATTGGCCATGGCAGGAGTATTGACACCATGGGAATTGGCAAGCACTACAAATTAATCTCCTCCAAGGGCCAGGTATTGAACATTTACCAGTCACTGGGTACATCTCATCAGTCAACAATCTTGATAGATACTCTTCAACCCAGCAGCTCCTAGCTCCTAATTCATAAGACCATGAATACCAAAGTTCTAAACTCATCCAGGACTCATTTTTCAAAAGGTACATCTCATCAGTCAACAATCTTGATAGATACTCTTCAACCCAGCAGCTCCTAGCTCCTAGTTCATAAGACCATGAATACCAAAGTTCTAAACTCATCCAGGACTCATTTTTCAAAACCATAGGAACTGGGGGGCGGGGGGGTGCAGGGCAGTGGGGAGTGTCAAGAACCACTGAGGGACTGAGGGGAAGGCTCCACCCACAGGGGGCTGTCTTACTTTTTAAAACATTTGTGAGCATTGATCTGAAGTTATGCAAAACAAAGGCAAAGCAGCTAGTGAAAACTCATTTGTGCTTTCAATAAAAAGGAATTAAGTTTGAGGTAATCAAAAAGTGCCTCAGGTCTGAAACCCAGCAAGTGGAGAAAGAGGAGAGAGCTGGACCCAAGCTGTCTCAAAATGGACATCAACTTACCGACATTTCCCCTGGAGGGAGGGAAAGTAGGGTGGGACAAGGGACAAATAAGCCCTGAATGACTCCTTCAGCTTATCAAGACACAGCCCCAAATGGTCCCAACTACTGCCCACCTCTCCCCCAGCTTCATGTGGGATGACTTGGAATTGGACAGGACTCAAGGGGCTACACCTCAAGCCATAAGGTCAAGAGATAGGGGAAGGATGTTGAGGAGAATTTCTTGATCTTTTTTAATCTTCAGAGCTGGGGCAGATGCTGGAGGAGAAATGGGACATGAAGTTCCAGGGTTTAGAAATGGCCGTGCGGTTCACCTCCTCAGCCCCTCTGACTTAAAAGTCTATCCCATACCTGCTATTGGGCGGGTGAACTGGCCCTGAGTCCTGCACTGAAGGTACACATGGACGAGGGGGAGGAAACTGTCCAGGTCCTTGCGCAGGCCAGGCCCCGTGCCCGCCTGCTGGCACCAGCACTCAAACCACAGCAGGTGGGGACAGCTCTGCTGGATGAGCAGGCCAGCAATGCCAAGAGCCGCCTGTGTCCGCCGGGCCAGGCAGTACTCGAGCAGGCTGACCCTGACCACAGGAGCCAGCACAGGGTGTCTCTGCAGTGTGTGGAGGAACACAGTGTCCAGCTCGTCCACAGCCAGTGTGGGGAGCAAAGCCCCCAGGCTTCTCACATACTCGGAGGACCAGAACAGCTCGCCACTCTGCAGCTGATCCTGGGGGCTGCTGGTCAACAGCTGCACCAGGGTCTTCCCAAGAATGTTCAGGCATCTCTCTTTCCCAGGGGGCTTTGTGGGTCGCTGGGTCACCAGGTGAGCCTCAGGCAGGCTCAGCAGTGCCAGCGTGATCTCGCGGAGCTGGACACTCTCCATGTATGCATGCAGCTCCTGCAGGGCCTCCAGCTGTGGCAGAGTCTTGGGTGGCAGTGTGGCTGGGCCCACCCTCCTCGTCCGCAGCTCTTTCAACACACTTTGGGTGATGGCTTCTAAGTACCTAGCTAGGAGACCCAGCTGACCAATGTTCCGGAGGATTGGGGCACTCACTGCCAGCAGCTGAAGGACTCCTGCACTAAAGTGGGCTGCCAGGAGTTTCACAAGGATGGGGCTGAGGGTGTGCGGGGGGAGAGACTGCTGCTCCAGGGCCAGGAACCAGCCCTCCAGCGTGGGATGTCTGAGGGTGGTCACAAGCACCTCCTCCAGCGTCTGAAACACAGTGACAAGGCACAGACTTCACACAGGCACAGGGCCAGGAGAGGGTGGCAGCTGCTGTGTAAGTAAGTATTCACTGCTCGTAGTAAGACAGAGAGCAGAAAGCAGCTTTCCTAACCCGCCGCACCCTCCAGCCCAAGTTTCAGTGACCCTCATGGGTTGCCCACGGTGCTCCCCAAACCAGTCCCGGTCAAAGCTGTTATCCCACCATAGCATGCACAACTATGGGATGGTGCATGGCTGCCCTGAATGACTGTGAGCAGCATGAGCACTGCGCTGTGACCTGGTCAGTGCCCCACCCAGATTCATGAGCTGAGTGAATTTACTGTGTGGCAAAACTGCTCTCCACAGTCACCCAGTGGAGGGGACTGGTCATGGAGAAACCCCCAAATGTGATAAAGATCAACTGTCTGCTGGTTTCTCTCCAGCAGCCTTGCCCTCCTAAATAGATCTGGTTGTGGGATGCGGTTGTCTTTTGACAACTGGGGCAGGGTGTTCACAGCTCAGACAAGACCAGGTATCAGGGGAAAGTGGATTGGGATTAAACTGCTATGAACGTCCACAATCCTGAACTGAAGGTAATCTGTCTGCACTTTCAGAAGAAGACTGGACCTCAAGTGATCCCCTGAGAAACTCAGTTAAATCAGAAAGCAGCTGAGCTCCCTGGGCTGGTAGAGAAGAATTTGGTTCACTTGCTACATGCAGCCTTGAGGAAAATGATTCCCAGCTAATGAAGGTACACCAGCCCCAGGCACAGGAGTAAATTCTTTCCTTATTTACTATTAAAGGAAGGAAAAAGAAGCCTATCACACTTTGCAATGGAGCTTTGACAGCTAAAAACAGAAAAGCACCATTATATGTTAGGATTACTTTACCCCGCATCGACTGGCTAATGGGTGGTCCTACCAAAACAAATCCCTTCGAGAAAGCCAACTTGAAGATCAAAGGAAGAAAGCCGTAGATTGTGAAATAAGGAACATGTTCGCCTCCTGATCCCAGTAAAACAGGTTCCATGGCAAACTGTAGAGAAATATTTGCCCTGGCCCCAATTAAACAGCCTGCTTCACAACACTAGTGACAGCAGGAAAGGGCTGCTGCTGCTTCTGGGGCGGTGTACTGCCTGGGTGTATCTGCTGTGACGAGCTTCACCCACAGCCCATCCTTCCTTCAACACAGGCTGCAGCTATCAGCACGAAGATATGCACACGGCGCTTCTCAAGAAGCTCATGTCACACAGAGTAAGGGAAGCTGCTTGCAGGCAGGGTGACTGTGCAGAGAAGGGACTGCAAAGGTGAATGCCCAAATTAAACCGTGCTTGTCTCTGCTATGGTTTTCTGCATTTCCCTATCTTCTACAACGAGTGCATATTTCTTTTTATCAGAAGTGGGAAGAAAGCCACTGTCTATGACTTTCTGGGAAAATGCTGCCTGGCTGCCCATGGAAGAGGTGGTCGTACCTGATCATTAGCCAGTTGCAGCGAGGCCACGGCCTCCATGTCCAGGAAGAGGTCAGACTCTGTCCTAGCAGCCTCACAGCGCTGCTGGTTCTGGGCATCCAGTTGTTCACAGTGGATGACCAGGCGCTTGAGGAGATCCAGGTAGAGCTGTAGAAGCGGGGGGCCTGCACTTCTGCCCAGCTGTAGGATGAGAGCCCCACAACCCTCAGACAGGGCAAGGCCCATGGTCATCAACACAGCAACCATCAAGTCGCACTGTCGTCAGAGTAGTGACAGAGACCCAAGGAGGCACAGAAATGGCAACTTTACACATAGTACTCATAAACCACTTCCACCTCAAAGTCATTTCTCAAATAAGGGGCTAGTCTTCCTAAATCTTGGTGAAATACAAGATGAAAGCTTTCTTGACGAAAGGTTTATTCTAACTAAAATGAGGGGACTAAAAATCTGTAATGCACATCAGGGCAGAAGCTCGACAGTGAGCTACTGTGTTAATAAACTTGGGAAAGGAGGGACGCAGGGGCCTGGGGGCACTGACCTGGTCAAAACTCTCCACGGCGCTCTTCAGGTAGAGCAGCACCTGCTTGACCGCGCGCGGGGCCTGGTGCATGGGGAGCTGCAAGGCACATCAGGGCAGAAGCTCGACAGTGAGCTACTGTGTTAATAAACTTGGGAAAGGAGGGACACAGGGGCCTGGGGGCACTGACCTGGTCAAAACTCTCCACGGCGCTCTTCAGGTAGAGCAGCACCTGCTTGACCGCGCGTGGGGCCTGGTGCATGGGGAGCTGCAAAAGGGCGGCCCGCAGCTGCACCTGGACATGCTGGTCCCACAGCTCCTGGCGCTCGTAGGCCACCTGTAGCAGGGCCATGAAGCAGGAGGCCGAGGGAGGTGTGGGGGGCTCTGGGCTGCCTGACACCTGCAATGGCTAAGGGGGACAGCAAAAGGTGGGCAAGAGGAAAGATAAATCACCAGGTGAAAATAGCCACAGGCTGAGAACACAGACACAGGATGTGTACAACTAAGAGATGTTTCCCAAGAATAATGAACTAAGACTAAAAAGATGGGACCATGTGGCATTCTACCATTTTACTTTAGTAGACTAAGTTCTGATACTATCAGTCATGCATATTTTCTGGAGCATGTTAATGCTGACAGAATGTGAAGGCACCAAACTGGAAGGTGTCTACACCCCTCGGAGAACAGACCCTGCAGGCAGGAGCCACATGTGACAGAGATCAGATTTTAATCACAGGAATGAATCGTTGGGAACTGGGCAATCACAGCGTGTAAGGGAAGCCGCTCTGGGAGCCACCTGCCTTCTAAAGACCCTCCCCCAGGAGCCCTGGTTAAGATATCTTGTCGGAAGAAAAGGAAGACAATGGATTGAATACAGAGAAATTTCTGGAGCCCTTCTGCCTCCAACTAAAGTTCATTTCTTCTAACATAATCCCCAAGCTGCCTTCTTTATTTACCCCTCATGGCTCATATTACTGTAACTCCAAACACTCAACTTCCTAAGGCTAATAAAACCCAAGGCTACACATGACCTGAAACTCAGTGGTTCTCAAAGTGTGGTCTCCAGCTCAGCAGCAGCATCACTCAGGAATGTGTGAGAAATCCAAATTCTCAGGCCCCACCCCAGGCTACTGGATCAGACACTGTATTTGAATGAACCCTCTGGGGAATCTGATGCACCTTGATGGGTGAAAACCACTGCTATGACTTACTCAATGGAGGGTGCACCCAGGAGGTCAGCACTGAACTCCTAACATCTGCATGTAAGCCACTGTCTGGCTATAACCTTGGCCAATACACGGAGGGAGGTTGCAATAGCTGTTTAGAGGCGTGGGCTCTGGAGCCAGACTACCTGGGATGAATCCCAACTCTACTAACAGTCATGGTGAAACCACTGTATGCCTGTATAAAGGATGGTAAGAATCTTGACCTACTTCTCAAAGTCATGGTAAAGATTAAATGGCTTAAACTACATGTAATACATTTGGTATGGGGGCTTGGCATGTCCCCAACAAGCAAGCAGAAAACATGCTGTCAGTGTTGGCTACTATTACAAATGTTACAAGACAAAGAGGTCCTAAGTTATCTGCTTTCTCAAGTGCAGCTAAAATTGAATACACAAAAATGTACACTGCAAAGTTAATTTCTTGCCCCACACAGCATTTACAAACTCTGTATTGGAGCCAGAACCTCACTACAAGAATGTAGTGCCCATCAAAATATAGTCTCCCCCATAACCCCCTTTTTCTTTCCCCAGTTTTAGCAGAATGGAGCCTCCTGGAGACCTTGAGGGGCCAAGTCTGACAGTCAAGCACTAGGGCATGCTAAGGTCTGCAGAAGAGAGCTGAGACAAGCATGCACAGATCACCTAGTAGAGAAAAAAGGAAAAAGGCAACCTCCTACCCCAAGCTGAGACAGTGATTAGCCAGTGACTCTTATGAAGCCTGTGGAAAATTTAATTTCACTGCATCATCAAGTCCTTTGCGTTTCAGTCACACTAGCAGAGCAACAGTAATACTACTTAGCTTCCTCTCCTATGCAGGAGAAATGAAAAGATTAAGAAATTTCACTCTGCAGCTATACAGCCATCCAGCTCCACAGCTGCAGTACAGCCAGCTGCGGCCCACAGGGAGAAACCCTCCACAGGAGCAGGGATCACAGTGACCACAGCCACAGCTCACCCAGGCCTCTCGGGCTTGCTCCGGGATCCAGAGGCTGTAGTATCTGTTAAACTGGGAAAGCTGATGGCAACAAGGTGGGCTTGGAGACTCAAACTTGTCATAGGCCTGGAGCAGAAGACACAGAGCCAGGGGGTCCCTCTGAGTGTGGAGGAGGTCAGTCAGCACCGCTGTCAGATAAGCCACAATGCTTTCCACTGCAAAGGAACCAGGTGAGTGTGGAGGGAGGTTTGTTGGGACCACCCTTCTGTGATCCACCAACACCATCTCCTCCCGCATGCATACAAGACCCCCCAAAATTCATGCCGACTCCATGAGGGGCCACATAACCATACAGAAGGCAGGTATTACTGCTGCAGACATTATTTCAGATTGACTCCCAGGTGGTAAGTCTGATCAATTTCCTAACAGCCTACCCAGCCCCTAGACTCCTACCCCTGCACTCTGAGCTCTGCTGGCTGGGTGGCTGTGACTTGGAGAGTCTGAACTCTCGCTGCCTTGGGTTCTCAGCAATTGTTTCCAGAGCCCCTGGAATCCCATCTCCCACCCCACACAGACCCCACTAGCCTGACACAGCCAGACACCCTGACTCCCCACAGGTACCTGCTTCATTTTCTGTCCCAAGGAGCAACTTATTCCTGGCTTCCAGGGCTGCAGGGACCACAGCACTGAAGGGGAATGTGAGCAGGATCATGTCCTCATTTAACAAGAACCCAATTTCCTCATCCAAGCCCTTGCTGTCCTCTACCAGGACATCCACCATGTCGAGGACATCTACGACAGAAAGGGGAAAGCCCAGCTGAAGCCACCAACAGATGCTACTGCAAATAACCCCGCAGGGAGGGAGAAGCAGAGAGCATATGCAGAAAGAGAAAAAACAGAAGCTAAATTTATCTCATGGGGGAAATGTTTAATACATTTGATCTTAAACAGATAAGACAGTGCTGATAAAAGTCTTTAAGATCTTTGTCTGACAAAATGCAGGATATTCGGCTGAGGTGATAATTGGTTGAAGTTTTCTCAAGTGACTGGAGAAGCCCAGGAACAAACAGAGGCAAACCAGTGTGAGGGCCAAAGCACAGACCGGAGCCAGTGTTTGGGTTCAAATCCTGATGCTGCTACGTAATAGCTGTGTGAGCTTCAGCAAGGCACTTAACCTCTCTGTGCCTCAGCGGCCTCATCCACATATAAAATGAGGATAATAGTACCACCCCTCCCTTAGGGTTGTTTATGAGGTTTATACAAGTTAAGATTTGTAAAAAGCTTAGAACAGTGCCTGGCACACAGTAAATACCACACAAACAAAATCCATCCAGTAAGTTCTCTACATGAACAAATGAGGCAAATTTCATTTCCAGAACAGGCTGATCTTTGACACAAAAAAATGGGACGTGTACACTTTGGCTAAGGCATTACAGCAATTCTTATTCTTCTGTCTCTAACATGCCATCGTGGCTCGATGTGCAGAACCTCAAGCAGCATAGAAGAGAGTGGTACCCACCGTCGATGTGGGAGACAGGGATGCTGACATCATCAGCGTCTAGCTTCATCACAGTGGCCTGCAGTGTGCTGGCTTCTTGGACAAAGTCAGATGCTTTGTCTGTGTATGAATAGGGATTCGCCACCAATGTCAATAAAACCTGGGCATTAAAAAGCCAAGTGGAAAACATTTAGATGGTCACAAGTGAAATGAAAAAAGAAAAAAAAAAGTCAAAAACTGTTACTGGTCAAGGGAAGCAAGTGTTAAAATGTTAACGGTCCTTAAAAGAACAATCACTTTACTGCAAAGTGTTTTTTCTGATATGCTAATTCCACCTGTTTGCAGTTAGTGATCATGAAATCTGCCTGGGGTAATGTTTACACCTGCACTACCTGTAAGGAAATGACAACCTGTGAAGGTCAAGACTTAGATGACCACGGTCTTCAAACAGCCCAAGTGAGAAGGTTAAAATGCAGAAAGATTATTGGCACTTCAAATCTTTGCACACAAACAACAGTGAATGTGATGTCTGTTGCACAGAAGAAATGAGAACTAGATAGATTTCCTACTGCTACAGCAAGACCTGAGGGAACCCTGGAAAAATGAGTATCAAGTATAAGAAAGAAGTAAACAAATGCCTCATCTCTTCCAATGACTTTGATGACACTTGTGCTGAGGGTGATGGACAAGTCAAAAAGGCTGAAAGCCCTGGAGAAGGATGAGAGTCTGGGACCAGGGGAAGAGGCATCACCTGTCAAAGAGTTCTCCAAGAGAGCGGAAATCTAAAAATTTTTGAGCCTATAATGTGCTAGGCACGACCTACTATTTTATCACATTTAATCTTCTCCACAGCCCTGTGATTTTTAGTATCTCCATTCACTGCTATGGGGAAACTAAGTTCAGAAAGGGTAAATAATTTCTCCAGTGCTACACAGGAAGTAGTAGAACCAGGATTCCAATCTAGGAACCAGATTTCAAAGCCCATGTTTTTTCCAGTTCTTCAGAGCACATGCCTCTCAGGAATGCAGCTAAGTTTAAAACACAATAAAAGGAAGTAGTAGAACCAGGATTCCAATCTAGGAACCAGATTTCAAAGCCCATGTTTTTTCCAATTCTTCAGAGCACATGCCTCTCAGGAATGCAGCTAAGTTTAAAACACAATAAGAAGTGCCATATAGGGCCGACCCCATGGCGCACTCGGGAGAGTGCGGCGCTGGGAGCACAGCGACGCTCCCACCGCGGGTTCGGATCCTATATAGGAATGGCCGGTGCGCTCACTGGCTGAGCGCGGTGTGGGCGACACCAAGCCAAGGGTTGCGATCCCCTTATCAGTCACGAAAAAGACAAAAAAAAAAAAAAAAAATGTGCCATATAACCTTTTATTTTAAATTGTGCAACAGACCTATAACATCTTGAATTTAACAACTCTCTACTAAGCACCCACTATAAGACCTATGCAAAAGGCTTTTCAGAATTAGAAACTGGTAGAAAATCACCTTTATGATCAGAAGTTTGGTTGATGACCTGAGTTGTAAATGGCTACTGGTCACGAACATTTTCATCAGTAAGTAAAATACTGATCGTTCACCTCCAATGATTTGTGCATCTGGGCCTTCCTAGAGTTTGAACAATATTATATATATTTAATACATATACTTATATATATAGCTTTAATTATATAATATAATGTATTATAAAAATGACAGGAGCCATTACTTGCTGAGCCAACAGGTGACTACATGCCCAGTACGCTACCAGGTCCTTCCCCTCGTCTCATTTAACTATGACTCGGCAAGATTACTGTGATTTTACATATAAGGAACCTCAGATGTTAGGAAGTCATACCAAACCCCAAAACAGCAGCTGGACTAATAATGAAGAGTAAGCGCAATAAGCACAGGTAGCCCTCTTCCTGTGCTGGTACATTCTAGGGTCGTTACATGCACTGACTCATTTAATCCTCCCAACAACCCTGTGAGGTGGGTACAAATGTTGAAACGGAGGCACTGAGAAGGTAACTGGCTGTTTACAGGGAACCAAGGCCCTGGAGTCCTGACACAGATGCTGTGCTACCTGGTGGGAGGCTGGGAAGGATGGACCCAGGGCTGTCTGACTCTGTCAAAGATGCATTTGTGCATTTCATCAGGATGCTGGTGCTAATATAATCAATTACTTATACATAATTTATAAAGAGGGTTTGGGCTTTGAATACATGTTTCAGAAAGTACATGGAGCTTCAGATCCCCAACCCAAACTCTATGGAGTCTGTATTTCACTGCAGCTGAACACCATGAAGTGCTAGAGTTAACTTAGCCCAGCAGATCAATCCAACAGATGTATCTTACAAGCATATGGTGGGGCATGGGATATAAGTTAATATCTTAATACCAATTCTTTCAAATCAAGAGGCCTCTGTTCACTTTCCAGCTAATCATCAAAATCCCATTGGCCTAGTTCAGCTGGAATAAAACCCAATGAACAATGTCTCCAGCTTGTCACCTCGCAGTGAGGTATAAAGGTTGAGAACGGGGCTCTAGCAGCACTGCCCGGGTCCCATCCTCGATCCACCACTCAGGGCTCGGACCTTGCAGAACTTTACTGACTACCTGTGTCCCAGCTGCCTTGTCTGTAAGCAGTGTGAGCTGAGTGGCAACGTAAAGCATTCATGTGCAGCCCAGCATGCAGTAAGTTCTCAGAATTATCCTACAATGCAGGGAACCTTAGAAAGAGGGCTTAGAGGAAAAATACATATATCCCAATGCCACATCATTCTTAAACCTTTCTGGCAATGCCACGTGTAAAAATGCCAAAACACATTTCCATACTATTAGTTCCATATAAGATCTTATATAAGATCAAAGTTATAAAAAAAAAAAAAAAAATCAGCTCACAGTATGAGAAACACACTTAGACAATCCTTAATTCTGCTTGATCATTTCCCCCCTCTGTGCATAGAAGTGATATAGCATCCTGGGTTTAAATACAAAGGTAAATATCTGTTGCATCCTGATCTTCCCTTTATGATTCAACATTATGTTCTCCAAAAAGTCCTAGAAGACATTATTAATGACACGGAAAAAAATGCTAGCAGTGTTTACTGATTTTCCCACCAGCCTCAACCCTCTCCTGGCTTGGTATCTATTCCTGCCTCTGTCTTAAGCTTTTCCAGGATGAGAACAAAGAAGGAATGTATTTTATTTTGTTTATTTCCAGAAAGGTTTTAAAATGAGAAAAATGCAAAATAGTCAAGATAAAAAAATAAAAACTCCCTACACCCAGCAATAATATATTTGTAAAGAGAGCATGTTAAGCACCCTATTTTACAAAAGCAAACACATTCCCAGGCCTCCTGGTTCACAAATCAGGGCCTGGCCTCTGCTCTAGGTCTTCCTAAGATGAGAACCGTTAACCTCTTTCACCGTGCCTCACCTCTATCAGGGTTCTGATCCAGTTAGAAACTCATCAAGCCAAGAAGCCAACAAGCCCAGCAGGTTAGCTAATGACAGAAGACTGGAGATCTCTGCTTCCTACCTGTGCCTTCAACCACAAAAATTTGTTGGCAGGCAGTTCCAGGGCCACCTTCAGCATGTGGTGCTGCAGAATGGGAGGTACCTCCTCTTGAAGGCCCTGCTCAGAGATGACACCTATGATGGAAAAGAGGACAACAGACAAAAAGTCAGCAGAGCAGGTGTTCAGCAACTGCTGCCCTGGCCAGAAAGACCAGAAAAGAAACTCCATGTCTAGGAAAAAAAGGAAGGATACAAGGGTTCTGTTCCCCGTGCTCACCCTCACACTGGCTGTCCCCACCCACTCCAAGTTCAAATCCTGCAACTCACCAAAAGAAGCCCCCCCTGCCACTCAGCCCTCACTGACCTCTCCCTCCAGTGGGACTCATGCACCACACCATGCTGCCTTCCATGCATGTTCTCTCAGGAACACTATCCTCAGGGGGTGTACAAGCATTCTGTGGACAGGGACAACCCAAGCCTGAGACTGGTCCTTACCCTCTACCCTCATCTCTGGGTTTCTCCTTTGCTTGGGAAGGACACAGCTACCAAATACTAAATGGCCACATTCTAGTAAATTTCACATTCTCACAGCAAAGAGAAACTTTCACCTTCAAACAATTAAAAAGTTAATTACAGTTTTTGAAAAGGATTATTCCAATAGCTTATATAAATTCCAGGAATGATATTTTACAAGTCCTATTCTATAGGCCCAATTATAAAGTCGATTTTATTAGGCAAACTTTACCATCAAGGAAACATGACCAGACAGCATAATGTTACAAGATGTGGTTTGAACCTGACTCACTGGGGTAAAATATGAGGTACCTATGTCAAAACTACCTCTGCACGAGTGGACGTCCCTTCTATGGGCTCTTGTTTCTGCTACACCCTCTGCCCCCCAATCCCTCAAAAAGCATCTCTACAGTTAACTTCACATGATCTGATTTGTGGCACGTCCAGGACAGGTCCCTCAGGCTGGGGCTTCTCCCTTCTTCACTCTCACTGCTGGTGAGTGTCATTCACCTGATATTTACTTATGGAAGACTGACTATTTTTAAAACATTGGTTCAAGTAAAACTAATCAGGCTGGTAGATCAGGCACGTCGGCAAACCACCCATCAGCCCTCCTGATCCTCCAGCACTTCCTCCACCCCCGCTGGCAGACACAATGGCAGCTGGCCTGCAGCCCCTTGGAGCCCCACCTTTTAGGAGCTTGCTGAAGTCAAAGTTGTACTGCGTAACCACGTGGGGGACCACCTTCTGGTAGAGGCATATGACCTGGAGCAGAACGGCTTTCAAAAGAATGGTTTCTGCATCATCTGCACCAAAATAAGATAGCAGGGATTAGGAAACACATTTGTTCTTTGTCCTCAATCAGACATAGGTGAGCAGTCGAGCCATGCGTGACACCGCATCATAGTCAACTGCATGTTGAACACTGAGGCTGTAGACTGATCCCCCAGTAACTAGAATGAAGGAGTAAATGTGGTAAAAAGGTTAAGACTGCCCAAAAGGTCTGGGTTTAAACCCCGTTGCACTGTTGTGACCTTGGATAGGTTAAGTTTCCTCTGTGCTTTCATGTCCTCATCTGAGCAACGGGCACACAGAGTAGGGCCTGCCCTCGTAGGGCTGCTATAAGGATGAAAGACGATATAGATATAAGATACAAAGCCCAAAATATGATATAGCAAAGCCTGGCCAACAATAAGGTCTGAGTCTCATTCCATAATGGGGGGAGGGCCATGCAGTGCCCCTCTACCTGCAGAGCAAGAGATCCCCCACCCCGCTCACTGAAAGGCCAGAGTACAGGGCACCCGACAACCGAGTCTTTAGAGAGACTCACAGGCTTGCATAAAGCCAGGGAATACCACTAACATTCTGATTCTTCTCCCTAAGCAATAAAGGACACGGGACACACTTGCAGCCAGAGGGGCTTTGAAAAAAATAAAACTACTGCTTTTGGATCCTCTAGATAGGAACTGTCCCAGGCTGCGTGGGTCAGCTCTGTCCTAGACAAACAGCCGAGGCCCCCAAAGCCCTCACCGCACTGGTGAGTCTTGCAGGCAGCTGGAGTCCTGTCACCCCTTTTCTTCCCTTTCTCGCCATCCTGTTTTGTCTCTTGCTTTTTAAGTGACTGCCAGACCCACACGATAGTGTTCAGGTCTGGCAAAATCTAAAAGGGAAAACAAAGGAACAAAGAATCAGTCATATTAAACAATGAAGAGAAACAAACGGACTGACCATACTAGGAAGAAGAAAAAACCAGAAGGGGAGGTGCAATTACACATGTGCGTACACAACTGTGCATGTGTGCGTGTATGTGAGCATGAGTGTGTAAGAAACAGACAGGAAAGTGGGGTGAGAACAGGCCCACATCCTTTGCAAGCTCTGTTTTGTAGTAAAACTTTCAGAACTGTAAGGATTTGGTAGGTAAACAAGTGCTGATAATTAAAACAGACTGCTCAGGACTCAATCACTGAGCAAAGACACTGGGAACACAGAAACACTTCCTTATGACCGGCTCTGGCCCCCAGGACCTGGGCTCTCTCAGAGCAGCTGGCCAGTTTGCAGAAGACTGGCCTTCCAAACCAGAATCAGCCATGGGAGGAGCAAGAGGGGCTTCCCGAGCCACCCACCCCTTCTCACTGGGGCTGCAGTGCAGTCCGTGTGTGTGTGCAGCGGTAGGGAAGGGGCACAGCAGCGGCTCCTGATAGGACAACAGGTCCCCGCCAGCATCAGAACTCCACTATTGCTTCTGTGGGAGAGCAAGTGTCTTATCTAAATTCTTATTCTGCACAAGGACTTCTGGATCATGATCTCAGTATGACACCCCTGCCTGTAATACGTGTCAGGTGGTCCTCCACACCTGTGCTACCACACTGCCCGCCAGCTTTTCCAATCCTGCAGCTTCAAGGACACCTCATGTGGCTCCAACCTCTGAGCTCCCAACATCGCTTTTTCCACTAGGAATTCTTAGTAGTGAGGTCTGTAAGGATAGCCTGCACCTGGATCTGGGCCTACCTTGCTCAGGGCTTCTCTGAAGAGCTGCACAAATTCTTCCATCAGCACGGCCGTGTACACGCCTGATTCTTGCCACATCTCTTTATTCAGGCAGTGGTCAATAGTTTTTAATGCTCTCTTCAAAATGACGGAAGTAAGGGATAAAGCTGTGTGTTTCACTGATTTGCTGTCCAACTGGGAAGAAAAAGAGTTAAATCCACGAATGTCTCTAGGATGCACTGGTGGACACAAATTTCCCACCCCTGGGCTTGGCTGGTGCTTGCCCCTTCTCGGGTTATTCCTAGGGAAAGCCACATGAGATGGCTGGTCTCTGTGCTGTGAGAAGAGTGACCTGGGAGCTTGCCCTCCTGACAGCCTCCAGATCTGACCTCAGCCATTGCCAGGAAAGCAGCTCATAGGTAGAGTCCAATAGTGGTTTTGTTTTTATCATCTGCTTTTCCATAAACCTTTTCTGACAACCACCCAACTAATATGGATCATCAGCATTAATGACAAAAAGGTCTCACCAGAACCCACCCACCACTCTTAAAAGTATTCAACGTCAGATGGAGACAGCCAAGAAAATGCATCATGTACTTTAGTATGAAAAACCAGCTCCAGGTTCAGTGAGTAAGCAACTATATTATAGGCCTCTGACACCAAGTTCTCTGCCTCTATTCAGAATGACAGCCAGGAGGGTTTTCAAAATCCTTACTCACTACAGAGACTGAGTAAGGTTCAAAACCATGTGCTACCAACAAAAAGAGGGAAGAGCCAAGGCGCCTGCTAGTCCCATGTGGTCCTGGTGAGCAGCAGTGACAGCATCTTCTGGCACCTGGCAGAAATGCAGAATCTGAGACCCCAGCCCAGCTTAAGCAGAACACACTTCTTTACCAGGACCCCAGGCATACATTAGGTCTTGGCAGCCTCAGCCAGGACACTGTAGACTTACAGTGAGGTAGAAACTAATAAGGCTTCTGATTTACTTTTAGTTTAATAACCATAACTCTGCGCTGCCCCAGCATTCCACTTAGCTGCGGTTTCACTTCATGTACACACTATACACTAAAGTAGGACAACATGAAATATCCTAAGCCAACAATGGCTCCAACCCCATAATCACCTCAAAGGCAGGGCTCCAAACAAGTTTTCACATGACATCCAAAGGGCTTAGGGCAAAAAACTCAACCCACAATCTGAGACCTTGCTTCCAAATACCTTATTTCCCATTTCTAAAATAAGCTAATTTTTTTCTTTCTGATTCTAAAATGTACGCTATAATTTTTTTTAGACAATACTGTAAGGAATAAAAGAAAAGAAACAACTCCTAACTTGGCCCCTAAATATGCTGGCGTCACTGGGTCTTGGCTCTGGGCCACTGTGGAGAGAGGCTCGGCTGTGGCTGGGTGGCCCTGGCCCTGCCCAGGAAGGCAGCAGCCAACTGGAGGACAGAAAGTGTGTCGTCTCTCACTCCTTACAGTCACTCTGTCCAGGGCATAGACCCCTTTTCTAGGGGCACAACCCCTCCATCCTGAAACAACAGGTGAGGAGGAGGAGGATGGCCTTTTATCTCCCAGGGAGTGCAAATGCAGCCCAGGAAGAAGGCACACCTGACACCTTCCTTTTGTTAGGTTTTCCTACAAGCCCCTTGACCTTTCTGCCTAGTCCCACCCTGGCCATCTCCTCTCTACTCCTCACCTCACCACCCACTCTCAACGCAAACCCTGGATGGTTAACCAGGGTTAACCCACTGCACAATCCCAGGAGTCTATGCCACTTTATAGTGACTGCCACCCAACACCACTGGGGCCAACTCATGCCTATGTGACACACCAAGACCAACCTTGGTCCTACAGATACCACACAACAACCCAGCCTGGAGACTACCCTCTGAATATCTGGCCTCCCTCAGGTAGGTCTCAGGCAACCTGGGCTTAGGAGGGGCTGGTAGAGCCCAGGACCCAGGTGTGCCAACAACTCGTAGCCATTCACCTAAGCCCATGATGCTGTGGTGAGATACATAAACCCCTCAGAATGTGGCTTCTGATGGCTCCTGGGGACCTTTATCATAAATAAATAATGATGTGAAATCTAAGTATCAGTTTTTTCCACGAACATGTCCTCAAAAAATGCCTGAAAACTGCTGGTCCTCAAAGTAACCATTTCCCTGAAATCACAACACTATTCATGTAAACCACAAAAGAAAGGATTTGCTAGGCAAATCTCAGTCCCACCCTGTCCAGAAATTCTAAACTAGTGAGATTCTAATAAATGTACTTCCTGTCCTCTGACTCTAACATTCTCCCACCCTGAGGTAGGACTAGAAAGGCTTACAGGAATCCCGAGATCCCGGCTGTGTGATAGAGCAGGGACGAGGACATGAAGAAAGGTGCCTCTGTTCTAAGATCCTAACCCCAGGTGGGTGTCTGTCACTCGTGGGGCTATTTCAAACTAAAGCCTCTGTCCTGGAAGCCTCAGAGGCTAACTGACAAAACAGGATCAGATACTTCCAGGCCAGTATTCTCAGAACAATCACCTAGCACAGCCAATAGGCAGAAAGTTCTAGAAGTGGGCAACCACGTGACCTTACATTCAGTGCTTGGGTGAACATGATCTTATTGCACACCAGGGGCACAGTGGTCACCATCACCATTGCCAGGAGCCGAGGCAAGGGTATAAACTCTCTGGTCTGAAATGCCCGGGAAATCTCCGGCTGGGCCTCATAGATCTGGAAAAAGGAGAAACACGTTTTAGTTGGTGTCAGAAGTAAGTTGCAAACTTGAGGCTAATTGTAGGCATTAACCTACAGTGAAACCGTTCCAATCAAATAATTACAGTGATAAAGGTCTGAGACTTGCCATAAGAGACAAGGTAAGATTATCCCCTATATCCGCTTGTTAAAGACAAGTCAGGTCACGAGACTAGCTGTTATGGCCATTATCAGAGAAGTGACCTTCACAGTGGAGCTTGGCCTGCACTATGGGGAGTCTCTTAAAACTTCTGATGGCAAATAAATCACTGCTAGAATGATAGCATTACTAACCAGTTACTGCTGCACTTAACAGGTACCTAACAAATTACGCCACCTTTTTAAAGCTTTATAACAACCCTTTGGGGTAGGGACACTTAACATTAATAATAAAATACATTTATGGAGGACAAAATTAAACCTCAGTGAGATTAAGTAACTTCCCTAGTGTTACACAGCTAGTAAGCAGCCAAGCAAGGACTCACACCCGGCCGCAAAGACCATCCCCTGGACCAGGAGCAGCTCCAAATGGGGGAGCTGGCCAGGGGGCTGCCTTCACAAAATGAGGGGCAGAGTGCATCTTTCTCACCCCACAACACAAGTGGGGACTACACAGACAGTCACTCAAGTAGAATTTAGAGAATGGGTAAATAAAAGCTTGTTTACACATAACACCAGGCCCAGGTCGAGGCACAAGAAAATAATCCCAGGTATTTCACTGTTAGGCAGGCCATAAATCAGAGAGAGAAAGAGAGAGAGAAAGCTTCACCAAGCCAGGGATTACTGCCAAAGAATTTACGGTAAGGACCTCCACTGGCAGATGAGGGAGATGCTGACGTCCATGATCAAATGGCCAAAGAATTTACGGTAAGGACCTCCACTGGCAGATGAGGGAGATGCTGACGTCCATGATCAGATGCCACTGGCAGATGAGGGAGATGCTGACGTCCATGATCAAATGGAAATTAATGCACATCCACTTAAACAAACACCAACATTTCACAGCTTATTCTTAGTTGCTCTCAGTACTTAAAACAGCAATCTTTAAAAACTATCCTATGATTTAGACATTTCACTAATTCTAGACCAACTGTGCTGAAATTCAGTAAGATTTTGCTCTAAGCAAAATCTTGATAAATGAGATAAAGTGGCTCAATATATTCAAAGAAATAAACTCAAAATTCAGCTCAGTGAAAAGCAAAAACCTATACTTAAGAGGACATGGACGCCAAATTTACACTCTCTAAAATATCCCTTCATAAAGTGGCTCAATATATTCAAAGAAATAAACTCAAAATTCAGCTCAGTGAAAAGCAAAAACATATACTTAAGAGGACATGGACGCCAAATTTACACTCTCTAAAATATCCCTTCATATCTCTGAAAGAAGGTCTTCATATTGCATAGTTTATCAAATCGGAATGCCCGCCAGTCCCGTGACTCCTCACGCTCCCCCTATCCAGCTAACAGACTTTTTATACATCATGTATTTTTACCTTGTTTAGTAGTTTGATATTGTTTAACCAAGTGGACTTCACTCTTGGGAGAAAGGAAAATGTGACTTCCTTGAAATACTTGTTCAGTAAGTCTGGGCACACTTTCAGGATGCTCACCACCAGCTCAGCCACCAGCTCATCGTCCGCTGCAGTCTTCAAACCCAGCAAGAAATGCAGGAGCGTCAGGTTTCCTCCTCTGTCAGAGAAAGAGAGAGGTGAAGTCAGCAGAGAATGTTCAAAACACACCACGGGCTCAAGGTGACAACGGAGCTCCACGAAATCACCTTCAGTAAACACAGTTGTAACTTGGCAATGGGTGAATCTCCCCCTGGTATCAAGTGGGATGTTTTCATGGCCTGTGGGTTCCAGCTCCCCACAAGACAAGATAGCTTTCATTTCAATCCTCTACTTCTGGGTTCCTGAAAAAGTCTCTGCTTTGTCCTGCTCCTATCTCTTCTTTCCTTTGTCCCTACCTTGAGTTCAACTGGACTTCTAAAGAAAAGGAAGAAAACCATTCTCTATCTACCCCAGCCACCTGCCAGTATGCCTCTAAGTCAAGGCTACTGTAGAGAAAGGGCAAAATCATCAGGGAGGGATCCAATCCCAAAATTTCATTTTGAGATTTTACTGACCTCTTCCCTCCAACCACACATGAAAAAAGGATTATGTAAACATGTACATGTGTGAGAGTAAGAAAAATAAGGCATTTTTCTTTGGAAAGGGCAATGTTTTTTATACGAAGTGCTCATGGCTTGTCACATGGTCCATAGTGCCCTAAAGTTATTTCTCAGACTCGACAAGAGAGCACAAGGTCTTGGCACAGGTCTTCTGTCTTCTCTGTTTCTACCTTATTTCACATTCCTACACCTTCACTTAGCAGGTGAAAGAAGCTAGTGTAGGAAAAAAGCCCACTGTAGCAAAATATTCAAAACTTGTCCCAAAGTGGGCAAACAGTCTTCAAAACTGTGACAAGATGATAAAAGGAGGAAAACCTGCGGACATTAAACCTTGCATAAAGGGAGCAACAATCCCAGGATGTACACAGCCAAACCATAGAACTCTAGGTGTTTCCTGCCTTGAAGTCTTTTAAGAAAAGATGCCTTTCCATATCTGCTTGACCATAGGAGGTCATAACATCCAGAAAAACCTCAGAATTTGCCTCCTTTGCATGCCATGCTGACAGTTTCTAGGGTGCTCAGTGTCTTACATCTATAAATTGAGTGAAACTACAATGCTATATGACAGCTTTACATGGTTTTTTTGTTTGTTTTTTTAACTGAATTAGAAAGAGTATAATTTCGATCAGAAAACTGTCCTTTTTAAAAAAGGATGTAAAATTCTTAATATGGAAATTTCTGGTGCTGGTAACACCAAGATCAATCAAGAGTTCAAATCCCTGTACTGGCCAGCTGCCAGAACAAAAAAAAAAAAAGAAAGAAAAGAAAATTTCATGAACAAAATGAATATATACTGCCAAATGAACATAAAATTAAATCTACAAAGAGTGATAAAAAAAACCACACACACACATTTTAATCAACAATGTAATAAAATGAGTAGCATTGATATTTACACAGAGCACAGATGGATATGTATTATAGTTCTATTACTACAAAGAGAAAGTCTAAAAGAATATAATCAAAACCATTAGATTTGGATTCATGTTTCCTTACTGATGAAATGTTATCACAATTGCAAAATGGAACGGAATATAAAAACTCAATCTGTAAATCCTAACTTGTTAGCAGCCTGCCGCTGAGGAGACAGAGAAGTTAGTTTTGAGTTACTGGCTTTGGAATTGGATTTCCTGGGTTCAAACGCAAGCTCTGCCCTAACCAGGGGAAGTGACTTGACCTCTCTGTGACCATTCTGGGGTAACAATGTGCCTACCTCTTGCCTGGTGTAAGGTCCATATCAGGGCCAACCTCTCAGAAAGATGATGTACGGTACTTATTCTCAGATCCAGATGATCTCGCTGTCTTACATGCAGCATCTCCCTGGATGAAATATCCGTGTGTCTAAATAAATTGCCACCCTGCCACCCCTGCCCGAGGGCATGCAATGAATGGAAGTTCTCTCCAATTACTCATCCCTAAAATGAGTTAGAGTCCACAATTCTAGCTCTAACCTACTACAATTCCATCATTTAACCAATTTCCACTAGACAACCACATATGTGACGACTTCCGAGCAACACATACCCTGGGGTTCACAAGAGTGTTGTACTTTACCTGCCGAAGGTGCCTAAAGACGCATCGTAAAAATTAATTCCATGCTTGAGTGAACAGCAAAGATCCATCAGGAAGTTATGAACGAGCTCCCTCACCATGGCTTTCCCTGCTTCGTCAGCAGGGATCTGTGAGGGATTAAAAAAATTTTAAAAATTCAGTAAGTCCCAATCTCATAAACCTCAGTAATAGCTACAGAGTGAAAAGCGGGACAATATCACCTGCCTAATGACAACTTAGAAAACATTTTAAATTAAATGTTTTGTATCATTCCAAAAAACAAACAGAAAACCAAAAAACAGCAGTACACCTATCAAGAGAAAAGAATACTCTTCAGAGGTGCAAGTTTAAACCTGTACTTTTAAAAGCTTAAAAATGACTTAATTTCTCTCACTCTTTTGAATAAAATTCCATATTTGGGAGTGTTTTTATGAAGCCCCCGAGGCTTCCCAGTAATAGAGTGTACAAAAACATGTTCAAAACAAGAGAACATGGTCAGGTCATCAAGATAAAAGCAAATGAAACAGCAGGCTCTTGACAGGTAAATTATTACAAAGTTAACAGGAACTCGGAGCCTTCACTGTTCTGGCCAAGTCCATGTTCTGAAACACCATGAGGAAAACAAAAATGAGGAAAATTAAAATGTACACTGGCCTTGGGTCAATGTGAAAGCAACAGTTTTAATTTAGCACTTGAATTAACTATTCCCTGTCTCCATTCACCCATTAGACTGCCTAAGATTTTAATTCTTTCTCTTTATAGATTGCACTTGACATCTTTTTTCATAATTGGATTTCATGTATAAAATTATTTGGGTCAGAGGGAAAAATAGATTATGATTCTCTACTGGCTTGCGACCAGTAAGGAAGGGAACACTGAGAATAGATGGGGGGTGGAGGGGGAGAGAGATGGACCTAGTTTAATAGGCCTTCCCCCAAGCAAGAGGAAAGACTGAAACAGTGTATTGTGACATTTTAATTGTGTAGTCCAGCAAAAACTCTTAGGTTTATAACCAGCAATATAAAAAAATAAATAAATAAAAGAAACAAGCCTTGAAACTCCAAAAACTGGATATGAAAGAATGGAAGGAAGGAAAAGAAGAGGCAAAGTGAGAGGAGGAAGAGAGAGGCCAGATGAACTGCATAAATCTATCAGGTAAGCACTGCAGGGAAAATTAAAATGTCACTCAGCCAAAGGGAAGAATAGTTTTCTCATTTAAAAAAAAAATACGGTTTATATCATACCTCAGAAATTTAAAAAAATCTTACTGTAAAAAACCCCAAAATTTAAAGTCATATTGCTCCTAAAAGAGAATATAACCATATAACCACAAGCCAAAAGAAACAGTTGAGTGAGATGACTTGTTTTAAAGTCCAGTGTAGTGCTGGGATTCTTCCATCTCCCAACCGTGAGGACCATACACCAAGGATAAGGTCAACTAAAATCCAAAAGTGACTACACCTGGAAGTTTCCTGGGTTTTCCAGGTTCACATCGGCAATCCCATTCCAGCTGTAGAGAGATGCTATGTGGTTCAATAACTGCCCGGTAAAGAAACGCACCTTCTGGGTTTTTGTGATATTTTTATTGTGAACTACCTGAAAATGATAATAAAACAAATAACGTTCAAGGAATTCAATTATTTTTTAAATACTGTTTCTTGTTTTCTCATCATTATAAAACCAATGCATGCTAACGGCAGAAAACTTGGTCAAAAAAAAAGAAAAAGTTACAGAGAAAACCAAAATTCACCAATATTCCTAGAATACCCAGTTATCATTTTGGTATATTTCCTTTCAGCCCCCACCCATACTTCACCGCCAACACACACAATATACATGTATATGTCTTGGTTATTTATTTATTTATTTTTGCCTGAGATTGTGATTACATATGGTTTTGTGTCTGCTTTTACTTATATGGTGTGAGCTTTTTCCTTATTATTAAAAATTCCTTTAGAAAATCGTTCTGGAGGGCTAAATACCATTCCGTTTTATGAACAGGATAACTTATTTAACCATTCCCCTGGTGTTTACAATTAGGTTGTTTCCAAATGCTGGCTGTTCTTCATAAAGCCATGATCAATACTCTCGGATAGTCTTCACTGCATCTCTGACGATGGACTTGGCACAGGTTCTTACAAATGGAACTGTGTGGCACAAGTTCTCAGCTCCACCCAAACCTAGCCCAGAATCTCTGGGGGTGTGGCCCAGATATATGCACTTCAAATACATTCCCCAGTTGGTTCAGAAGCAATCCCTCAGTTCAGAACAACCACATGGTCCATGCGCATATTCAAAACCTTGACACATATTGCCAGAACTGCTGTCTTCCACAGAGGCTGTAACTAATACTTCCTCCAGGAAAGTACCTTATTCCAGATATCTTTACTAGTTTTGAGTATCACTGGTTTAAAGAGTCAATCCTATTTTGGTAGGTGAAAAAACCTGTATGTCATTATTTGCATTACCTTAAATCAGGGTTTCTCAACCACAGCTCTAGTGACATTTTGGCCAGATAATTGCTGTGGGGGCTGTGCTGTGTACTGCAGGATGTTTAGCAGCATCTAAACATACCTGGTCTCTATCCACGAGATGCCAGTTGCACCTCCCCAGTTATAACAACCAAAAAATGTCTCCAAACATTGCCAAATGTCCCATGGAGGGCAAAAAGGCCTCCAGTTGACATCCAGTTTTCAAATACCATGAAAGGAAAGCATTTTCACATGGACTTTTGATAACTTTTCATGTTGGGAGTGTCATAGTTTCTCTACTTCATCATTTAAGGTGCTTCCATATTAAAGACAGTGATCCTTTAAGCAAGTTTTTACATGTTTATAAGGTGCTTGTAAAAGGCAGAATATGGAACATGACACAAAATAACATTTTGCTAGATGTGTAAATGAAGTATTATTTATAATTTACAGCTCACAATTATTACACTACTTATTGTGAAATGCTGATTAACAGTCTTCCTGCTACCTTAATAAAACAGCAGCCTTGCCTGAGCATCAGCGGCTGCTTCATCTGTTCTTTAACTTTCTGGCCAGGATTTGCTCGTCACCAAGAAAGAGTTTCTGCTTAAGACACAGTTTTCCATTCAACCTAAATTAACTATAACCTATATAAGATATTATAGCCCTAGAATCCTATAAAATGCTGGGAAATATTTCTTCATTCACATAGAAAGAACCAATGACAGAAATGCTGATCACCAAACACGTACCTTTGTTTTCAGGGTAGATAACAAAATATTGATGGTAGAAATCCTATCTTCCTTTATGCCTGAGCTAAAGATGCAAGGGATAAATTCTGAAAGTAAAAGTTTCAAAGCATTAAACTCAAAAGTATTTTGACCTTGATCATGCCCCCATTCGTCCTCCCACCCTATTTCCCTTCCCATCCCCTCACCCCCTCCCCAACTGCTCTGCCATATCTTAGAATGTAAAAACATAATAAAATTAATAAATTAAAAAAAATTTTTTAAAGTATTTTGAAAATGAGAACAGATGAGAGAACACTGCTGTTTAAATTGTACAGCAAACAATACAATTTCCTTTTTTCTTTTTTAATTTTGTCTCTCTTAATTATTCAAGTTCACAGTAGGAAACCAAGACTATCTAAAGGTGAAGACAGAACTTTTTAAGAAGCTCAGTAGTTACTTAGTTGTTTCACCTTCCTTTTCTCACATTAAGTAAAATTAACTTAAGACTGACTGAGGGCCATTCACATCCTTAATTACTTCCTTAGGATAAATGACTAAACATGGAGTTGCTGGATCAAGCATTTTAAAAGTTTTGATGCATACATCCAAATTGCCCAGCAGAATTATTATACTGAAGTCAATCCCTGACCCCTTCAGTGATGTGAATGAGTACCCACTGTCCCTTAATAAAAGGCTGGGAAACTGAGATGAGTGAAGAGAATTTTAAAGAAACTACCAGCCCTGGCAGCAGCAGGGCATCCTGAAATTAGTACCTGCCAGTAAGCAGGGGTGAAAAATCTGTAGGCTAAATCACGCAAAGAGAATGCACCTCCTCTCCCATGTGGTTCTAGCGCAGCAGTGATGAGGTCCTTTACACAGACCAGGCTGATGACATATAGGGGGGCCACCACCCACACCATTCTATTAATAGCCCCGGCAGTCACATTCTGGAGGAAGCTCAGGTCTCCCACCCTGGGGGAGGTGGGAGCGGGGCTGGAGACCTGATCACATGAGGCTATAGCACCAGAGTTCCAGCCAGGACATGGAACTGCTCCTCACCTCCAGACAGGGCATGATCCTGGGGAATCTCACTGAGCAACGGCCATATACTAAGCTAAGTGCTGTCATTTACCATCTCAATGAATCTCTTGATAAAATGCAAGTGGCCTCAATAGACAAAACTATGCCAAGCCTCGTTCTAGGGAGACAGCTACCAGAAGATGGTCAAGTTACAATTCTCTGAAGCCCCATTACTGATATTCTGGTAATATGGGGCAGAGTACCAAAGTAATTAGACTTCATTTTTAAAAACACAATTACTAAGGAAAGCCAGCTAGCTAAGGTGATGAATCTGTGTACATTCTGGAGCCATAAAGCCTCCTTTGTTTGCCAAGCTGCCTCTCAGGTTTGCATTTATCCTCTGTTAGGGAATTGCTCAGCATTCCAGGTGGCTTAACAGGAATACCTCTGTTCATTCTGACCACTGATATCAAAATGGCACTGACCAAGGCTTATCACTCCCCCTACACACACACCCTTCATTCCAGTGCATACAGCAGCTGCACAGGCTGCAGGGTTTTTTCAACCTGGAAGAAACGATTTGCCGTAGGTTTTTCAAAATAATAGCAAATGGGTGTCCTAAGGGACAAAAGAAAGCACCTACCTTTCACCTCCAACACCTGCACTATAGTGCTGTCATCGCCAGCAATTAAAAAGGAAAGGACAAACTGAATGTAGGCCAGCCGAACGTCATGCACTCCCTGGAGAACAAAGAGACCCACATGTCACATGCACATTACACAGAACCAAAGGAACAGGAACACAACTCCCGTCTCAACATCACCAGCCTTCCAGTCTCGTCCTGTCATCAGGGGATGGAAGTCTGAAACCAATACTCACTCTTTATGGAAAGCAAAAGTTTTCTCTGCTCTTTCCCCCCTCAATATTCTCTACTTTTCTTTCTTTTTCAAGCCCTATTCTCAATACAAAAGTATGGGTAACAAATAGTTGTGGCCCTTCCCCGACTATACTACATAAATTTCTTTATTGTATGGACCACTCTGGTGTGGAGCAAGAGACTATCAAGCCACCTAGACCCACCTCCTCTCTCTTGCTGATGGAAATTATCTATGTTTTCAAAAATCCAGAGCTAATGGAAAGACTGCTGCTGCTTTTGATGAGACATCAATGTGGTAATGTCTATTTCTTATTAGATATTATAAATAAGTTATAAACTCACACCAGGAATCAAAGCACAGATGCTATCATGTTACGAGCTCTGCTAGCTCATCTTCCCAGTACTGTAATCCACACTGTCCCACTGGTCTTAGCCATGGCCCAAGGCAGCAGCTGTTCTCAGTGAGGGCCCAAAGGCCATGACCAGAAGCCAACATGTCTGAGGAAATCACTATAGCCATCTGATCAATTTTCCCTCCCAGTATCATTAAAACAAAGCCTTGTCTCACCATCCCTTGTTTTACATCTAAGAAACCCAAGGCACGTGGTCATGCAGGACTCTCAGCCATTCCAGAACTACTAGCAAGTGTGCTTAGATCCTCTACTGCTTAACCAAAAACTTTTCCCTACTTCCCAGTTATTCCAAAGGTACCTTAATTCACTGCCAAAAAATAAGTTAATATGACAGAGAATTACTGCCCTGAATGCCTGGAAAGATTCAACAGTAGTCTCGGCCTTCCGGATAGTTCTGTTCTACTAAGTAGTAGTAGCAATAGAGGTGGCAGCAGTAGCAGCAATCATGATGATGATAAAACGATGTTTACTGAGCACTTACTATGTGCCAGGCGCTACGCCAAATGCTGCACATCTGTTATCTCATTTACTCCTCGGAGCAACCTGAGGCACAGATGCTTACCATACCCATTTTACCATGTGGAAACTGAGGCCTTGAAAATTAACTCAGTCACACAGCTGCTAAGTAAGTTAAGTACCAGAATCAGGATAATAAGAATGATTGTACAAACACACTGCTGTAAGTTCAACTACAGAGAAGTTCTTCCTTCTCAGGGCTCCCATGGCATTCTCATTTCACTTTTTCTCAAGGTGCAAGGACCGAACTTGGCATCATTTAGGTCTCTGTGCAAGTACTTAACTAATTCCATCTTGTTTTGTTGGATATATGCTTCTTTCGGAGAAACGAAAGGATAGCCAACAGTGCTCTCTAACATCTGGGCGAAGACCTTGTACATTCATCGTATTTACTGAGTTTACCTCCACTCATGTCACACAGCATTTCAGCAAGACTGTATGAGACCAATGCTGGTTTATTCCAAATATATGGAGAACTTCAACTGTCCTCTCTGTCCTGGGGACCTGTCTGTGAGCCTCTTCACAGCACAGAGTTTGGGACGACAACTAGTGTTGAGAATCAGCTGCATTTCCTTAGTGTTGGCAATGCTCCAGTGCCATCACTCACCAATTCAGTGTTTATAAAACACCCACTACAGCAAGATGCCATAATCTCAGGCTGACAGATGATGCAAAGATGACTAACATACCATCCCTGTCCTCAGGAAGCTTAAAGTAACAACTGTTCCCAAGCCATTTAGATGCCCCATCGTTCAAATTAGCATGTCACCTACTTCAAACACAGTTAATTTGTCATCTTGGTCTACACATGCCTTGTGTTTCAAATGAATGCTGGTAAAATGCTAAATCTTGCCTGGTAAAATTATATTAGATTTTGTCCTTTCCCTGCTAATGGAAAGATCCCACAATTTTTCTTTTTTCTTTTTTAGTATGCTGAATAGTATTGGGAGTGAGGAGCCTGGAATGCTGATCTCAGTTATCTGCCATTCTGGATCTTTCCATCTTGCTTGTACACAGTGGAGGTGCACTATATCTTCTTGTGGATCCCTCCAGCAATAAATTTCTAAATGAAAAGGAATTTAGTTACCACCTCCTGGCTCCCATCTTATATATCTCAGACAAGCCCAAATTTCAGCTTCCTGACATTGTGGAGGAACTAAGTGAGATTCCCAACAACCAGCATCTACCCATTCCAGGCTCGCCACCACATGGCTCCTACTCAGCCACCTGGACCTCTGCCTGCCCTGCCCCATCTCCAGCACACACCATCGAAAGCATCCTACTCCCACTGAAAGACGGCCACATGCCTACTCCTTGTTCCTTCCCTGGGACCTCACAGGGTTATTATCCCAGGAAGAAAACATCCTGAACTCTTCAGGGCTTATTCTGCAAAATGCTGTCTAAAATAGACCAAAACATATTTGGTAAAACTGCTCTTTGGCACAGGATTTTAACAATGCTTTCTTTGGCTGGATAAATATATCCATAGTCCTCTTTCTTCATGAGGCTTAAGAATTCCCTCCAAAATGTTAAAATACACTCATTTTAAAAAATCACTACCAGCATCTTCAAAAACTAATGGCAAGAAAAAAAGGCAAGAGATAGAGTGGGCAGAAGAACTCAAGATTCAAAAAAAAATGCAGAGATTTAAGAAACATATCAATCAAATATAATGTGTAGACCTTGTTTGGATCCTGATCTGAATCACAAAATGTAAGAACATTTTTGAGACAATCAGGAAAAACCAAGAACTGGGTATTAGATGATATTGAGAAATAAATTTATAGTGTTAGGTACAATAATGGTACTGTGGTTTTGTTCTTTAAAAGGTCTTTTTCTGTTCAGAGTACACACTGAAATATTTATGGTGAAATATGATTCATGTCTGGGATTTATTTGCTATAATAGACTGCAGGATCTGCTATGATAGACTGCTTCAAAACAAACTGAAAAGGTGGGAGGCATGACAGTGGCTGAAGCTGAATGACAGGTACATGGAGTTCCTTGTGCTGCTGTATGTTTGAATACCCCTGATATTTCCTGTATTATAAAAAAAAATAGGCCGGCCTGTGGCTCACTCGGTAGAGTGCGGTGCTGATAACACCAAGGCCACGGGTTCGGATCCTATATAGGGATGGCCGGTTTGCTCACTGGCTGAGCATGGTGCTGACAACACCAAGCCAAGGGTTGAGATCCCCTTACCGGTCATCTTTAAAAAATAAAAATAAAAAAAATAAAAAATAAATAAATAAATAAATAAAAATAATTTAAGGTCTGGACACCATTTTCTACAACATACAAAGTATTTATAGTATTTGATACAGAAGGTTACAAAAGGAAAAACACTTGTAACTCGATAATAACTCCCATATTATAGATCCCGGAGAGGCAAAATAACCTGCCCTGAGATGAAACAACCTGTGTGCAGCCCTGTAGCCAGGGTTCAGGAAGGGAAGACCTGATGGGGCTTTCTGACGTTGTCTGGTCTTAGTGGGTGGCCTGGGCACTTAAACTCAGATGGCTGAGATCAAGGAAGGCAGGGGTGGGAAGGAAGGAGGGTATCTGATAATTTCTGCCAGGCTCACTGCCAGCTAAGACCAAAGTACTGTGATATTTGCCCTAGTGTGCAAATAGCACGTGCATTCTTTTTATTAGAAATGCACTTAAATGTCAGGAGCCATTACTCATTGAATGGAATTTGTTGACATGTTAATAAAGCACAGTATCTAAGAGACACTAAAACCTGGAATTTTTTTCATCAGAGAATATTATTTGTAATTCCAGTAAAACACTCAACACCAGGCCAATCTCACAAAGCAGTAAAAGTTACTTGGTGTTATTACTGTTAACCCTTCAGTCTGTTATCTGGCAATGCAGAAATCCCAGGAATATCAAGAGAACAAGGCAACATATAGTTACAGAAGTGAATTATTCTAATGTGGTTCTCCACCACCACAGACAAGGGCTGGTACTTTCCGCTCAGGAAAAGGGTGAGAACTCCGGCTGTGACTGTTCACAGCACTGGAGCACCAGCAGGAGAAATGATCTGGCAAGCAGATGTGGCATTTCGACAACCTTAGCTGCACATGCATTGGGAGGAGGGCCTCTCTCAAGCTCATGAGTCCTAAAACTGTACTTTCTCTCCAAGAACCTTTCCAAACCTAAGTGCAACTTCTAGATCCACCAGGGTTTTTTGTTTTTTGTTTCTTGCAGCTCTACTAAAAACCAACCATTCACACTCCCATTCTCTTTGGCACAATCCAGCCTCTACTTCTTTCATTACAACAGTTCTAATTGGGAGGCGCACATCACTTATTAAAGAGCCATAAAAGTCTTCTTTGAGGATGTCGCTGGCTTAAAAGTTCTAAGGGTTTTCTCCAAAGTGTAAAGAACTGGAATAGAGGACAGGGACAAGCTTCGCGGCTATGAAGCACATGGAGGCTATTTCGTTTATTCAGTAGAGAAGATGCTCACAAGCTAAGTCACAGCCAGGAACGTGCTGCTCTGCTGAGTACCCGCCCTCCTTCCCCCGCACTAAAGTATCCTTGGATGTCCCCACTGTGTAGGCTCTGCAGGTGGATGGACCCATCACCAGCCAGAGGTGAAGTCCCTCCTCACAGACAGAAGCCAGTTGCTAATGAGGCATACACTCCCAAGTGCCAAAGGCAGAGGGAGGAAAAACAGCCACTACAGCCCTCCAAAGGGAAGAGACACACAGAAGAGGGACAACACACTTGGAATTCTCACCTTTGAATCCCTTTTGGTCACCAGGGTGTACAAGGTCTTTTTATTCAAATCAAAATGGCTGCAGACATCCCTGGCAGCTTCAGGACCCTGGGTCACCATGGCGGCCATCAGGTTCAGGCAGGCTCGAGCCACCCTGCACAGAAACACAAGGAATCAGACATATCAGAACAGTGGAAGCACAAAGCCACCTCACCACAAAGGCAACTGCATACTTGGTTGTACGATTTGCTATTCCCAAACCAGGAAAAGGAAGGAAGGAGATACAGAGACATGATCTTTATTTTAAAAAAAAAAAAAAATCTAAAAACCGAGACCAAGGAACAAGAATCCAAAAACACAAGCTATAAAGAGGATGACAATGTCTCTTGAGTAAACCTTCATGTGACTGAGTGACACATCTCAGTCCCTGTGTGTACAGGACACAGAGGAAGACTTCTTCATGGACAGCTCCAAAGTGAACTCCTAGCTGCCTTTCCATTCTATGGTTTCCCAGAATCCATGGTTTACTGAGCACCAGCTACCTACAGGCATCATTCTAGGTGCTGAGAAGGTGGCATTTTATAAGAAGGGCAAGGCCCCTGCCACATGCGCTTTGCATGCTAATGGAGGGAGACAGTCAACAGGAAGATATGGAATATTATGCAACCTCACAATTGCACAAATTGATATTTTTCTCTATGGAGAAAAATAAAGCAGGTGAAAGGGCCAGGAAAGGACAGCAGGAATGCTACTGGATGTAGGACAGTCAACAAAGGCCCTGCTGAGGTGACACTTTTGCAAAGTCCTGAAGGCTGAGAGACAGCTCAAGACTCTCTGGGAGAAGAGCTATCAAGGCAGAAGGAATAGGCAAAGGAAAGGCAAGTCTGAGTGTTCCAGAGCATCAAGGAAAGCAGCGGGGCTGGAGCAAGAGGGATAAGTGGGAGGAGAGAAGTCAGCGACAGCCAGGGACTGGTCCACAGAGGGAGGAGGGGCAGAGACCCAGCTGCAAAAGCCTTGGAAGCAGCTCAGCCCTTTTATGAGCAAAGGTAACGGTCAGATGCACTCACGCAGAGCCAAATGCAGACCAAACCCAAAGGCTAGTCCTTTGCCACACAAAAGCAGCAACTTACCTGTAACCCGAGGCATACAGGGACTCACAAATGAGCTTCATGTGGTTGTTCAGTAGCTTTTTCACAATGTTGGTTCCCACAACATGGAAATGTGAAAGATCACCGGCTGTCCTCAACAATATGGCCTCGAAAACTTGAAATATTAATAGCAGGGGGGGGGACTTAATCTTATCTTAAAAAAGGGAGGAAAGGACTAAACATTTAAATCAAAACAGTCATTACCAATGAAGTAAAATGCAAAATACCAATGGTCTTTTAAGAAATACACAAGTTTTCATATAAATATGGGGGGGGGATCTGTTTTAGGGAGTGCTCCAACTTCTCCAGGAAATCCTTCCTTCTCTGCCTTGGGGCTACATGTAATGGGCTAATCTTTCTTTCCCATACCAGCTACCATCACCAGAGTCTGCACCTCTGAAGGTCAGATTCTTCCTTCAACTTCTCTCCAGAGATTACAGTTTCAAGATCCTTCAGTGTTCAGATCAGACTCTAGGTCCCCTTGAAGCATGAGGCCCAGAATAGGAATTGGTACTGCAGTCAGGTCTACCAGCTGAGCAGAGCAGATCAACACATCTTTCTTCCTGGACAGCAAGTCTATATGTCTCTGATTCCAGTCCTGATGCACACAGGGTGCTATTAAGTAACATCTACCTAGGTCTGTACACGTGTGGTCAGATTTGGGGACCCCTGAGCAAGACCTTATACTAAGAACACACCAGGTAAGAGTGTAAACTTTGGAGCCATGCATCCCAGCTTGGCCATTTACTAGCTGCATGGTACTAAGTAAATCACTGAACTCTAAGCTTTGGGTTCTTTATCTGTAAAATGAGAACAGGAGCAGGACCTACCTAACAGGGTTTGTGTAAGGTGTAAAAGGGCTAATTTACATGGAAATCGTCTAGCATCACACTAGCCTCAAAAAAAAAAAAAGCCTCCAACTGTCCTCAGCAGTGTATTTCTGGTCACATTCAGCCCTCTGTCAGCCTCGCAAGGTCTTTTTGGATCCCATTTTATGCCACGGTACAACATTTTCCCTGGCAACCATGCTGACTCCTGAAACATTTACTGCACACTGTGCCCTATGCTCCTCTTGTCCTAGCTGTAGTTACTTGCAGGCTTAATACCTTCATCGTGCAGGAGTAGGCCTGCCCAGATCCTGAGCCCGAGGTGATAAAGGCAAAGGTGACAGCTCAGCAGGCTGACTTGCCAGGACCCAGGCCCTGGACTTAGTCTTGCTCCCAGTGTAGGGAAGCAGAGAACAGTTTGCTTGACCTGGCCAGTTAGCTCACTTGGGAGAGCATGATGCTGTTAACACCAAGGTCAAGGATTCAGATTCCTGTACTGGCCAGCTGCCAAAAAAAAAAGATGAAATGAAAGAAGAAAGTTCTATTTATGAGAACTGCTCTGGGGATATTCAGGTCTACAGCTTTATAGCAAAACCTCTGAGATTTTAACAGGTTCATATCATAAATATCAAATTTTTAACCTGTTTGGAACCAGCAGACAATAATCAATTCAGTAAGTGTTCTGAGTCTGTGATTACAGTTTTTACCTGCTTCCCTTGTTAAAACAAACCATGTTGGAAACAAGTACATTATATTAAGAATTTATGATCCTTCCTTCTAATATTCACCAATGCTAATAAGAAGTTAGCATTTTCCTCTAAAATACTTTGAAAGGCCATAAAGACAAAAATGAACTTATTCCTATAGCATAGGGACAACGCATCATTTTCTGCTGAAAGTTGGTAATGCCTTGGAAATTCCTATCATATTTCTCTTCGTCAAGCTTAACACAACAGTAGCATTAACTTTCTTCTCTTCTTCAAGCCAGGTAAGGAATAACATACTTCACTTTCAGGCCGCTTCTCTCCACTCAGGAGCTGGAAAATTTCTGCACACTCAACAGAAATCTTTATATACCCTTCCACAACATCATACACATCTTCTCGTGGTAGCTTCTTGGCAGCAGAGACAAATGCTTCCAAGGCTGAAACAACTTGCTGCACAGGCACTGCTCTGGGCGCTGAGGCCAGACTCCATGCTTCTGCAGCATGGTCTACTGAGATAATGAGCAAGGGTGGTGGGTGTTCTCACAGAGATGGCTGTGGGTTGCATGAGCTCAACCCTCATGGGCACCAAGGAGACACACATAATACTCTACCGTCTCCCTCAGAAAAACAGAACACAGGTGACAGCAAGGGCTGTTCATGCAGGGAGAGCAGCGCTATTCTTTTTTAAGGAACCATTTGCCAAACTCTAATATGTACTTACACTTGTCATCTCTCTGCACCTTCATCTTTCCATCCACCATTTACTGAGCACCTACCGCATGCACCAGGCATTATACGTATCTGGAATATGCTGGTGAACAAACTGGAAATGGCCTCTACCCCCACGGTGCTTACAATCAAGTGGCAGAGACCAAGGTCCACGTCATGAATATTTATAGAACACCTACCACAATCACTTAAATAGACAAACTGTAGTAAGTGCTATGGAGCAAAAGTCAAGGGTGTAATGAGGGGTTATAACGGGGGAACAAGATTTAGATTGGAAGGTTGGAAAGGTTTTCTCCAAAGAAGTAACTATGAACCTAATAATTATAAGAGTAAGTATGAGTTGGGGGTAGCCGGGAAAGTGCTCCAGGGCAAGGATGTGCAAAGATCCTAAGGCTGGAGGGTACAGAGTGTGGCTGAAGGCGGGTGGGTGGTTAAGTGAGTGAGTGGGGAGGGCTGCCTGACATGAAGTCAGAGAAGGAGATGGGGCTAGATGAAGTAATAGTAATGAGTTTGGACTTTATCCTAAAGGCAGTGGGATACCACTGAAAGGCGTCATGAGAGGAGTGACATGATCAGATTTGAAGTTTTAAAAGACCGTCTGACTGCTACATTAGAAGAGGCTATAGGAAAGCAAAATTAGGAAAGAGACCAACTCTGGTCAGTTCTGGCCACTATCCCAGCAGGGACTGATAGTGTCTGGACTAGAATGACGATGAAACAGAGGACAGCAGACCAGCTCCTGAGATACCCAGGAGAAGCACCAAAGCTAAGGGTCAAAGTAAGGCAGAGGGAGGTTTCTGGCAGGAACACAGAAGTGAACGGAACTATCACTTACTGCAATGGGGAACACGAAAGCAACATGGGGACTCCAGGGAGATCAAGAGTTTAACCTTTAGAGTACTCACATTTACAAGAAGCCCTTTCTCTATCGCCAGTGAAGTCATGGGCAAACTTTGAAAGGAACTGGCCTGCAGAACTCTTCTTGATCCAGGATCGTCCCTGATGCTGATACTGATCCATTCCTGAGTGCCCTCTGGGTCTTTACCATTCTAACCCTGCAGTTCTCTTTCCTCCACTACATGAAGGGAGTATAATCAGAAACCTTCCCTGTGCCTGGGTTAAAATCCCTCAACATCCATCAATTCCATTTCCCTGATCTTCCAGCAACCTATCACAGGAAGTTACGAGAGCATATCGAAAGGGAGAGAGAAAGAATTCAAGACAGAGACCAGATTCGAACACAAATCCAACACAGCCTCACATGCTTTCACCCACTAGCTTCAGCTTTGCCATGTTTTCAACTACTTCACTTTCACCCATCAGCCCAGATTTTCTTTCAACACCTGTTCAAATGATGCAGCACCTGAATGTCATGGTGCTCTCTGTGCAAAACCGTGAAATATGGACACAGGATCTTTTCAATAATTAAACATGCTCTTTCTTCTACCAGGAAGGTTCCTATCCCTGTCCCGTTCTACAACCCTTTTGAAAGGCCACTACCTCAGGAGAGGTTTCTTTGATCTCCCAGATTAGATGCAAGGCCAGGCAGACACCCTCAGGCACCACACAACTCTCCTGTGAAGGACTTGTGCTTGGAACCGGATGTATGTGATTTTATTGATATCTGCCTTCCCCACATGATGCTTTATAAGCCCCATGATGGCCTGTCTGATTTTTATTCACCATTTTATCTGAACCCTAGCAAATAATAGACCTTAGTAACTACTGAAAGAATAAATTAAATGAGTGAAATGTATAATTCTGTGCTAAAGTAGGTAGCACCTTCCTAGCACTGACGAGCAGCTACAGTTACCAAAAGTTTAAAAACAAAATCTGTAGGAGAAAAGTTGGAAATTGAGGATGTTCTGATCATTAATTTTATAATTTCTTTAACCTGGGAGAAACACTGTCATTTTTAATTTTAGTACAGTGCTAATGTTTCCACTTAACAACATGTTCAATTGTGTTCTTTCTTCATAACCTAGATACTTGCCAAAGGATTACAAGTAGTTGTGAAGGGTGGTCACAATTTACAAAAAATGAAATTAAATTAAAGAATCTGCTTCATCTCAGTCACTGGTCCAAGCTTGGTCAAACAACAAGTAGTTGCAGTGGCTTCTGGTAGCTTGTTACATGTTATCAGGTCAGTGTCAGTGTTGGAGGGTCAAAGCTATTGAAAATGGTGCTGACGGAACAAGGAGTAGCAAACTGTCTCACTGAACTGCCCTGATCTGACTCACGGTAGGGACTCTACAAACATTTGCCGTGTGAATGAGTCGGCCATTTCATTTACTTTCCTGACAACTGCAATAAGCCGGTTTTAGAGCAATGTGTAGTCGCATGGGACTGTCAAAACCAAGCAAGTTGTGGCCCTCTTGCTGTCGCTGACAGCTCAGGGCAAACAACTGCAGCGCGCAGTCCTGGAGCTGCCCCGGTCGGCCGGGGATCCTGGACGCCCAATCACGGGGGCCTCAGTTTCCTGAAAAGCGGAGGCTTGGCTCTGACCCTCGGTCAACCAAAAGCTGTAAAAAGGACAGCCCGTGTCTAGCCCACTTAGGCCCCGCCCGGACCGAGGCCCGGAGACCAGCTCGCAAGCACGAGCTCCTGGCCCCGGGCCCGCCGCCCCGCACTCACCTGGCCCCGAGCCCTGCGGGTCCCTCAGCTGAGCCTTGAACCGCACGCCCGTGAGCTCCTCAGTGCGGGACCGTTTGGCTGCGCTCGTGGGGGACGCCGAGTCGCCCTGGCCGCTCGGGGCCTTCCTCTTGGAGACCCCCATGGCCGAGAGAGCGGAAGCGCAAGGGGAACCACACACCCGCTGGGACCTGGCAAGAACACGCCAGCAGATAGGACACACGCACCTAGGGTCCACCTGCCAGGGGCCCACACGCGGCCGGGAAAGGGCAGGGCTGATGGAAAAGGCGGGGCCTCTGTGTGGGAGATTGGCGGAAGAGGTGGAGGGAGGCCGGAACCGGAAGGGGCGGGGCCTTAGAAACGGGGAGGCGAAAAGCTGGGGTCAGGGCTTCTTCCGTGTGGCTTTGGGCCGGGTTGGCTTCTTCGCGGCTTGGGAAGAGTGGACACTCCACGACATCCCCGCCCAGCTGCGGTGGGCTGCGGTCCACCCGGGCGCACCTCCTGACTCCGGTGGCCCTCTTGGGGCCCCTGTTAAGAACTCCCAGACCCTTCGCTCCCGGCCTGACTGAACAGTGACGAGACGGGCTCGGCGCGTCGTTGCTGCACAATGAGTTCACTTCTCAAACTGAGGACGCCTCAACGGTGTCGCTTGAAGAACTTTCCTCAAACACAGTGGGATTCGATACTTTTACAATTTGAGGCCCAGTGCGTTGGCCAGGAGGGTGGATATCCCCTGGCTGGATGCCAGGCGGGCTTGTTCCTGTGGTGCCCCTCACCCTGACCCCCGACATGTCACAGCCTGAACCAGACCGGCTTGCCTGGTGGGGTGCCCCAGACCGACCTCCAGCCCAGGCTTCCCCAGACTTGCTCTTTGTGCCATGCAGGGTGGAAGGAGAGGACCAAATGAAATAAATATGAAAACCCTTTACGGACAGCGTAGGACCTCCACGTCTAAGTTCCTGTCATTCAAATAGAGACAGCACAGCCAGCCCTACCCAATCCTCGGGGCTGTTGTGAACAGCAAATGATGCAATGTATGAAAAACTGCTTTGACGGGAAAAAAAGTACAGCGTGTTTTCTAAGATGTTATTAATTGACTCCTGAGCCATATCAAATACTCAAATAAAATGGAGGTAAAAATGAGTTAGTAAAAACGGGCTGGCACATTTTTTAATGCAACTTCATCAATACTTGGGTATGTCTTCAAAATATGAATCAGTACATTAGATGAGAGATTTGGTGATTCCTGGAATTCTCCATCAGGTTGTCCTCTAGTCTGAGGAAATACTGCATTTTGTTCTGTAAGCAGATGTGTTTTGAGCATCTGAGGACGTGGGCTTTTGTGGTCTGTTGGGGTTCAGATTTTCTTGGTAGAAAAAGCACATTGTATTGACCCTGAACAAGACAGTTGTGCCTGGGGAAATGCCTATGTTGTAGGCAGGTCAGGCAGAGGAAATTGCCCCAACAGATTTGAGCTGATGCAGCAATATTAAGAGAAGGGGATGTGCTCAAAATTCAGGCTATAAACGGCAACACTCATATTAGTAAAGGCAGACTTAATTTCAACTAATTGTCCACACTGGTCCTCTTCTCTGGTTAGCGATGCAGCAATATTAAGAGAAGGGGATGTGCTCAAAATTCAGGCTATAAACGGCAACACTCAGTAAAGGCAGACTTAATTTCAACTAATTGTCCACACTGGTCCTCTTCTCTGGTTAGCTGCCACCCACGGACTTGTTTTCTGCCATGGTAGGCCCAACCAAAGAGGCAGCAGGGAGATTCAGAAAACAGTCAGAAGCCCTGAGTTAAGTTTCTGTCTTGGCCAAATTACCATCTCTCTGGACTGGATTGCTTTACAAAGAATTAGAGAAGGGGAGGAACTTGACAAGATTCCCCAGAGAATAATTGGTGGAACCACGACTCATTCAGTGTATCCTAGCCCCAAATTAAAAACAAAGAAATGGAAGTTGGTAGTGTCCATCACTGCCTTAGCCAGAGACATACCTGATGGCAAGTGGGGCTCAGAAGTACAGATGGATGCTTCAGACTAACTCAGCCCAATGCCATGAATCATTGGTGCCAGGTCACTAACCCCCTTTCAGATATCAGGCTCATCAACCAGCCTCTGTGTAGTGACTTGGCTTTCTGTAAAAAGGTCTGCAATATTTGCCTGCAAGAGTATTCTGGTCTGTTGAAGACTTAGCATCACTGTTATTAGGACATGCTGAGCTGGGATTCACCTCAGGGCTTTTGTACTTGTTCTCTTCCTTTAAAACTCTTTGCCCAGACTTCGACTGGCTCAGACTCACTTCACTTGGGTTTTTCCTATCCATCTCTCACTCTCTATCTTCTTACCTTCCTCTATTTTCCTTTATTGCCTTTATCACTTAGGGGTGAAGTAGATATTCATTTGTTTTTCAAATTCATTTACTAAAATGTGCACTGACTAATGGCACGAAATAAAGTCCAGTTCTCCATTTTCACTGCCTAGAACACACATAATGGGGCTCAATAAATATTTGTTGAATAAATGTCTGTATATGTGTGTACATGTGAATATGAATGTATATCCTAAAAGGAAAGTTGACCCAGAATGCTGTCAAAAAAACTCAGGGTGCAAGTTTCTGACTCTACAAGCTTGTGAACTGGTTCCTGGACTGTGGTGAATCAACCAAGAGAAGTGTCCAACCTTAGAAGCCAACCAGTTCATCTCCAGGGGCCACATTTCTTGTTCACACCTGCTAAGTGTGTGTGTGTTTCTTGCCTATTTCAATCTTATAAAGTTAAGTACAAGTTCTGGAGAGAGGCAGAAGAAGCTCAGTTAGAATCCACATGAAGTTTTATTAAAGCATATTTATCATGGGCTCTCAGAATGTGAGGTGTATATACAAGATGAAGTCATCCGAAGGTTTACCATACATTATTTCATCTAGATAAAAGCTTGTTAATGAAATCACATTCTAGACAGAAGAGGTGTGAAATTCTTTTCTCTCTTTTGATACAGGTTTGAATCTCTTTAGTGATGAACTTTAGTGAATCTCTTTAGTGTGTTTTTTACTTATATCAAAACATTCAATTATCTGCTTGTTTAGCAAGGAGAAGAATAAAGCATTATTTCAGACAGTCACTGTGAACCTCAGTGAAGGACACAGTATCTTGGAAAAGATAAGTAAGCCTCTGGCTTCTATATTCAACAAAACAGCAATACCCACCAATATTTGCTATGTGCAATGCATTATACAATGAGAAGAATAAAGCATTATTTCAGACAGTCACTGTGAACCTCAGTGAAGGACACAGTATCTTAGAAAAGATAAGTAAGCCTCTGGCTTCTAAATTCAACAAAACAGCAATACCCACCAATATTTGCTATGTGCAATGCATTATACAACGGACATGAAAAAGTACCCCACAGTATACCTTCCCCCAAGGGACTTACAGCATTATTGAGAATATGATGCACCTGATAAGTTCAATAGATATAAAGAATTTAACCAAGAATCCAAAATGATATGAGATGTTACAAGTCCATGGGGTAACTAAATTGATTATTTGAGCAATAGACACCTCACATAGCATAATCCACATCACTGTGGGCTTCTTGCTAAAATTATCATTTTAAAGCATTTAAAGCAGATTTTAAAAACCAGAAACATCAAACTGGTCTGTTTTTCTACTCTGGGGCAAACTTGAAGAAGAGTAGAAAATGTTCCCCTCTTGTCCAATGTGGAATGAAATAGCCATAAGTGTGAGGTTGCTGTGGATTGAATGTCCCTCCCAAACTCATTGAAGGTTAAATTGTGTCCCCCAAATTTCTAGGTGTTGGAAACTTGACCCCCCACTGTGACAGTGCTGAAAGAGTGGAAAATCCTATTGTGATGACTGAAAAGTGGGGCCTCAAGAGGTGATTAGATTGTAGGACCCTGCCATAATGAACTGATTAATAATGGTGGTCAGGGGCATGCTTCTGAGGGCTTTAAAAGGAGAGCACATGAGGAGCTCTTTCTCTCTGCTTCGCCATTTTCTGCCATGTGAAACCCCTGCATTGTTATAAAGCCACCACCAAGAAGACCCTCACCAGATGTGTTCCCTGGACTTTGGACTTTCTAGCCTCTGAAACTATAAGCAATAAATTTCGTTTTCTTATACATTACCCAGTTCCAGGAATTTGGTTATAAGCAACAGAAATGGACTAATACATAAGCCAATCTTGACAAGAATCATGACATATATGCAGTTTGTCTTCTTAAATCCCCCCAAGTTCACTCTCCACTCACCTCCCTACACACGCATACATAGCACTTTCTTTTTGCCCCCATCTTCCCAAAGCCCCTGCTGAAACTTTCCCAGAATTTATCTCCCTGAGAAATGCTTCCCCCAGAATAATTTCTTTTCAACCTCCCTTCATATGCTAAGTTCCCTTTCTTCCTCTCCCTCCTCTTCCCCATAACCTGTTCCCTTACAAAAGTGTTTTCAGCCAGCCATCAGAAAATAATAAGATTTGATGAGTTCACTTGAGGTGATGGAGATTAATAGCAATTTGCAGCCTACCCATGAATAGTTTTACACTTTGAAAAGAGAACACTTGAAGATCACAAACCTCAAAATAAATTTTTAGTAGTTGGGTTCTAGTCACTGTGGCATTGAATGGGGAGGGTGAGGAGGAAGGTCTTTGGTCAAGGGAGAAGAGGAGCTTCTGAACTTTGTGCATGTGAACTACAGCCATAATTTCATATATTACATTTACTAATTTGGGGACATGCCTCGATTTCTAAAAATACACTTTCAAATCCATTCTAGGAAGTAGCCACTGATCCTGCCGTATCCTCACTGAATATGTACTATGTTGATGACCAGGGTCTCACACCAGATGACTCAACGTACTACATTGTTGAGTTGATGGCCCTATTCTCTAAATAACAAAATATATCAAAATCTATACCAAATTTAGAGATTCAAGTATCTAACGATAAATTTCAAAGCTATTGTGTAGACTGGTCTAATATCTTCATAATTAGGCAAAAATATAAGGAAATTTAAAAATCTGAATAACAATGTATTCAAATTAATAGATTATAAGGTAACTTCATACCCACAAACAAAAAATACACATTCTTTCTAAGTAAATATGCAACAGTCATAAAA